TACAGGGTTTGGTATTTATCATTTGTCATAAGAGCTTTCCGGGGGGGGGGGGAATTGGAGGGACAGGGGGTGAAGGGACATGATCACTATTGCTTTCTTGGGGTATCTTGCCTTAGAAAAAATATTCTCAGGAGATGATACTCTAAAAGAGTTTTGATCCTGAAACCAAGTGTGCACAGATGTAAAATCTCTGAAGCCAGAAAAGAATGGCAGTTCCAATGATCTCTGAAACATGTAAATTCATTGAAATTTATTTAGCTGTGGAACTTCAGAGCTGGCAAGGATCCTACAGACTCTTATCCCTCATATGTTAAGTGAGAAACTGAGGCATGGAGAAGGAGAAGAACTTGCTCAAAGTTACATAACTAGTTAGAGTTGGGAGTAGAGCTGCCTAATCTTGGGTTCCCTCTCCCAGGGGTGTTTTTTTCCCTTTTCCACCCCTAAGTACCCAGCATGTGAATGTTCCCTTCCCTTCCTCTCCTCTACCCTTTCCCTACTATTAAAATTTTTTCTCAGGAAATTTCTCTGAACCTCCTTCCCAGTAAGATGTATATGACTGACATGACTTATTTTTACCTCACCCACATAAAATTTTAATTTTAATAGGAATTTCAAAGGAGTATAACTTTAAATGCAGGCTTTAGACAAGGCAGCATTGTTAAATATTTAACAACGGTCTTTAGGGAGACAAGGACTGTACCCATGACACACTTTAAAGTTTATCCTGCGTTGTTAACATTTTCCCTATTACCTTCTTCTATCTAGATATTCAACAAAACAAATACATTAAGCTCCAGTTTGTAGCATTCGCCAGTTTCCAAAATGTGAATGCTCACTCTCCAAATTTAAGAATCGGCTCTCTGAGTTTGGGCAGGCACCAACACATGCCTGGACTTAGGATAGCTCGCTCTTCCATTACTGTGCTTACCACAATCCAACAGACCATGAATCAGAGACTTAATGCTATAACGAAAGATATCTACACCAACCCCCTTATTTTACAAATGAGGCCACCGAGGACCAAGCAGCAGAAGTGATTTGTCAATAGTAAATGTCACAGCTGGGATTTGAACCCACCTCCACTGACTTTAAATCAAGCTTTCACTCCACTGCAACTTGTTGGCCAGTCCCCTTGTAAGCATTCGCTCTACTTTTAAATCTTCAGTTGCCTTCTCATACAGAGGTGAGAAGCCTAGGTCAAAGTTGTCTTTTGCTCTAATAGATATTTAGGGCACAACCCCCATTAGGTGACAGCAGGCTGCTAATTGATCTTGAGCGTAAAGACCAAGAATAGTTTCACAGCCATGACTTGCTTCCTTCTTTCTTACTGTTGCGTCTACTCTGAATTATTTTGATCTCTTTGGGAACATGACCAGTTATATTCTTTTTGAATCACAATAATTAGAACTTAATGAGCCAGACCCTCCAGGGTGTAAGATTCACTCCAGTTGCAAATCATGCAGTTTAGGATGCCTTAATGACTTGCTTAGTCCATAGGAGGACTGTTTAGTGAATTGAAACTATAATTTATCTAAATTGGTATTGCTAACTTTTCCCACAGGGGCAACTATTTTTCATTTTCCCAAAAGTACTAAAAAATTTTCAGGGCTGGAAGGAGAAGGAAGGTATGGGAGAAGGAAAAGCTGGAGGTAATTTTGACCTGAAAGTCACCGGGGGAAGGAGGGGGGGAATTGACCTTACAAGTCAGTCAGGAGATGAGTGTTGACATTGAAGTCATTAAGCATTTGGGGATTGAGGAGTGGTTAACCCTAAAAGCCCTGGGAAGGAGATCTCAGTCCCCAAACCAGAAAATTCAGGCTTCAAGACTGACCAATTGATCACCAAAAGCCTTGGTCTGAATCAGGACTTCTTAATCTTTTTTTGTGCCAAAGACCCCTTTGACAGTCTGGTGAAGCCTACAGACCCTTTCTCAGGGCAATATTCTTAAATACATAGGATTAAAAAAGAAACCAATATGCTGAAATACAGTTATCAAAATATTTTTATTAAAGTTCATGGACCCCAGGTTTAAAATCCCTGGTTTACATGGAGGCTTTAAACAGTTAATGCAGCTTTCCAAAGTGCCTAAATTACAGCCTGGGCAAAGAAGCAGACAAAACAGGAAAATCTGGTTCAATATGGTTTCTCTCTGTGCTCTCTACAAATCTGACCTACTCCACTACTGTCCTCAGAAGAGAGAGAAGATTTATTATCCCCATTAAATGGATGAGAAACAGGCTCTGCACTCCCAGGCCATCAGGCTGAATGGGACCTAAGAGGTCATCGTATTCCATCTTCCCTCCTCAGCAACAGTACCCTCAACTATACTAAGCTGGCAAGTGCTCACTCTTTTCCTTATCTTCCTCGAGCTGATAAAATGGAATTATGTGCTTTACTATCAGCATACAATATTCACAGCCATTACATCCTCACTGTGTGGAATTTAAACTTATACCAAGTACCATATCCAGGTTTTTCTGTATCCAGGTTTCCAAAAGAATCTTCTTTTAAAAAATTGAAATTAGTCATTATTAAGCCTCCATTTTCTAGATAGTATGAACTGTTATTTGAAAATAAAATGGGTTTCATATCATTAATCAGAGATATGGTTAGAACAGGGGAAAAAAGAATAGATAATAATTTTAGAGAAGGAAAGCCTAGTCCAACCTATTCATTTTACAAAGAAGGAAAATGGGGCCCAAAGAGATTAAAAGATTTACCCAAGGACACACAGGTAAATGGCAGAGTCGGAGTTCTAGCTCAAGACCTTTGACTCTAAATTCAGTTCTATAGAAAGCTTATTGGGAACTCACACCCAGTAGACATTCTGGTCCATTACTGTACAGCTCTAGTTGTTGGAAAGGTCTTTTTTTCTGTTAAGCCATGATTGGTCTATTTGTAATATCCATCTATCGACAGCTCTGCCCTCTAGAGAGCCATAGAACAAATCTGCTTGTTCTTTCACATGCTACCCTTTCAAATACTGAAGTCAACCAGCATGTTTCTCCATAGGATTCTCTCCTCTAGGTTAAATAGTCTTAATTCCTTCAACCATTTCTTAGTGACACTTCACCAACATGGCTCCCCTCTTCTTGACACACTCTTGTCGATCAATGCCTCTTTTAAAAAGTCACACCTAGACAAAATACAAAATTCCAGGTGTGGTAAGAACAGAGAAGAAAGAGCTAGGGTATTCTGCTGCCTGTATGGTTTGGCTTTTCCTTGTTGGTTAATCCTCTGAGACAGCTGTAATATATTTTTATTCACAGAACATTAGCAAAGGCCTCTCATTTCTCTAAATGACTTTCAATAACTCTGTCCCTCTTTTCTTTTCTTTCCTTTACCGAAAATTTGAGCCAATGCTGAATATTTCTTTGTTTTCTTTTTTGCTTTCTCCTTTGTCCATTTCCAACACTAGTACTTTTTCCCTACCTCTGAGCTTTCAATGTTTCCATGTGTATTTCCTTCCATTTGTATTATTCTGCACAATGATCAATTATGCTGAGTAATTGCTCCTTCTTTGAGAGCCCCCCATTTATCCTTATTAGAGAGCAGATTAAAATTCTTCCTCCTATGGACCAGGTGCACTAGATCTCTTCTTTATCACAAATTAGCCATTTTACAGTTTAATATTTTCAAGTCTTTGCATTGAGGTGAACTATCCAAGACATTCTTGCTCACTGGAGCGCAGCTGGCTCCCTTTGATATGTATTTTCTATGTATTTTCCCCATTATTAGCATATTATGGGCAATTTTTTTTTCTTTGGTGCTTTGCTTTTTGGGTCAAAACATGCTCTGTTAAGACATCACATATAAATAAACATAAATTAAGTTAAATTAAAATATCAGATGTGATTCAACATAAAGGATACTTTTTGGAAAAGGTGCCTAAAACCCCAAACAATTAAGTCTTGCTTTTTGTTTTGTTTTGTTTTGTTTTCTTTCTCTTTAGTTCCCATGTATTTTGATAATATTTGCCTGGCTCTAAGGGCTTAAAACTGGGGGTAATAGTCCTCTTTATCACTCTTGTTCCACTAAATAGTGCTTTTTAATGACAGTATTTTCCCTTTTTATTCTGGTTTACTTTCCTCACTACTGCCAAGTATGGGGGAAATGTGATGTTTTTTCTGGTTTGTTAAATTCAAGACTTAGCAATGACAGCCTACCTTAAACAGCACAGCCAAACATTCTCAGAGCTAAATGTAGGCATGAGGAAGAAAGAGTACACCTCTTGGAATTGTAACTTAAAATTCCAGTCAGGAACACTACAAGGATTTAAACTGGGCAAGCAGCTCTTCTCTTGGACAGCTTAATGATCTGTAGTTAATAACGAAAGGCTGATAGGCAGATGCATTACAGCTAGGCTGGAGTTAGCCTTTCTAGGCTCTACAAATTGCAGGATGATTACAGCCATTTGAATCAAAAGTCAGATTCTGAGTCACAAGCCAAAACTCATTCAAAAATTTGGTCTTTTGTACCAGTGGCTTTCACTCTGTCCACTTTCTGTGGTAGCCTATAAATTCATGCCTTTTCCCAACCCCATTTTCTAGCCTGGTGAAAGGTCCCTTCATCTGAGTGACTGGTCCTCTAATGGTACTAGGGATGATATATGCTATGCTTAAGGCCATACTTTCCCCTTGGTTGAGCACACACAATTTCACTGAAGTCTCTGGAAACTGACTCAGTTCTCCCACTAGCAAAATTGGGGTTGGCTTCTTTGTGGGGAATCATGAAATATACAACTTCCTGGAGCCAGTTAGCATATTATTAAATCTTACAAGTGAGGTTTGGTTGGAGTCACTGTCTTGTGTTGGGAAATAAAGGGTCATGGAAATTTCCTAGAAAAAAACCTCACTGAAAACTGTCACAAATTCTCAGTCATTCAAGGATACAGAGGGACATAGCAGGGTTCAGAGTAGACACTGAAAGCAAAAAGAAACAGAGGGAGATAGGAGCTGAATACTAAATCATGACTGATCATAAACATGCTTTTTTTTCAGAGTCACTTTTCAGTGAAGAAGGGAGCTGCAGCCTTGGGGATTGGAACAGACAGTGTGATTCTGATCAAATGTGATGAAAGGTAAGCATGAATTTCCAACTCCTGTCTACCTACATCAATAAATGGAAACCAAGAGTCCTGCCTGTCCAGAAAACAGCTGGCAACTGGGGCACAGGCAGTAGTACACCTCTATCCTCACTAATATCGCTAATTTTGTTGTTTTGGTGTTAGGATTTTTTTTTAACATTTACTCTTTGGGGGGAACACCAGCCATCAGCTTCAGTGCTCCTGAACCATTCACAAGTCCCGACTGAATGGAAGCCTTCCTTCTACACTAGTACAAACCAAAGAGCATTCATCACCTGAGCCAGGTAGCAACAGTATGTGATGTGAACATTGAGTTATAGTGTCATCATCATCCTCTCTGCTGCAAATTATGTAAACACGATGGAAGGATTACAGATCATATACTCACTGAGCAAGAAGTAAATGATGCCCTCAAACCTCATCAACTCTGATTTCCTCAGTTCATTAAGGGATGAAACCAATGAATTATGGGGGAAACCTGCTATAAATAGCATATGAGTTTCACATTGTTTCATTCTGTTACTAGGGAATGTTATTTTATTTGGAGAATTGTTTTTAAAACTTCTACAAAGTAGGATTTGAGTAAATAGAGGGGAAAGAGAGCAAATCCAGGCAAATTAAAAAATGAATAAAAGCACAGAAGTAGAAATAAAGTAGCATGGTGTGTGAGGTAGGCATTATTACCCCCGTTTCACAGCTGATAAAACTAAAATTCAGAGAAGTTCAATGATTTGGTTATAGTCAAAAATAGAGATTGGATCCGCGATGTCATTAATTGCTGGGAACTAGGGATGAGGAAACTCTCTTTTACCAATGTGAACAGGCACCTCCTCTGAAATTTACATTTTGGAGACTTGCCTAAGGCAAAGAGAGATTAAGTGACTTGCCCAGGGTAATTGCCAGTAAAGTGTTCAGAAATGGGCCTTGAAGGGCAGCTAGGTGGGCAGTGGATAGAGCATGGGCCCTGGATTCAGGAGGACCCGAATTCAAACGTGGCCTTAGGCACATAACGCTTACTAGCTGTGTGACCCTGGGCAAGTCACTTAACCCCATTGCCTAGCAAAAAAAAAAAAGAAAGAAAGAAAGAAATGGGCCTTGAATTCAGGTTTTCCTAGCTCCAAGACTAATTCTCTATCCACTACGCCTTGATGCCTCTTACCCGTGACCAAACGGATAGTAAATGTGAAGGAGAGGGCTAGTCTACTATAGTTCTTTGCATTTCCTTTGGCTCTCCTAAAAATTAAAATACCCTCAACATTCCATTCAATTTAGATTCAACAAACTTTTTGAAGCACCTACCATGAGCAAGGTCTTGTGTCTAGGCTCTAGAGATACTATGATAAAAACAGTCTCTGAACTTAAGAAGCTACCATTCTACTGGAAAAACTTCTCCTTCCCAATCACTCCAGACCCCCCCTCAAAAAAAGGAGGGGAATAATAGACAACCAGTTATTTGAAGGAAGAAAAGTTTAAAGGATTGAATTAAGACAGAAGAGGAGTGAGGCAGCAGAGAAAATGACAAAGAAAAGGGAAAATTTTTTTAAAGAAATAAATGAGGCTTAGAGGAGAGAAAAGAGAAAAAAATAAAGGTATCAGTTTTTAAGTTTATATTTGTGGTCATCAGTAATGAATCTTATGTTCAATTCTATATTTATCATCTTAATATATCTTAGGTACATGATGAATTCAAGGATGATATAGAGCTGAGGCAATACATTATAGCATATTGTATTATATCACATAATGGGCAATATAATAATTATAATATAATAGTATAATATATTAAACTACATAACATTTAATATTATATGTAACACAATAATTATAATATATAATAATATAATGTACTATGTTACAGTATAGAGGGCTGGCCTTAGGGTCAGAAAAACCTGGATTTAGTGTCTGGCCTTGGATTCAGGGAGACCTGGGTTCAAATTCTGCCTCTGACACATCCTGGATATGACCATGGGCAACTCCCTTAGCAACTCAGCCCCCTAATCTATATTAGAGATGAGTTGCTGATCTACATAGATGGAGAGGGTTGCCCACATTGATGATATCACAAGCCTAGATACACACACACACACACACACACACACACACACACACACAATATAGACCTGAAGAAGGCATCCAGAGTGTTGAATTGATCCATTGAGGAGGATTTATGGATGGCTAAAGATGATAGTCTCACAGGATGAGAAGGCCTGAGGGTTGTCATCTACATGGGTGAAGGGGGTTGCCCCACACCATTAATATCAAGGATCCATTGAAATATCACAGCATGGAATGGATGCACATGATATGAATAGAGGAATAGATGTTCTAATAGAAAGTCATAGAACACATGCCATTTGGAAATGGCAACCAATGGTGTTTCAGGAGGGAATCTAGACAAGTAGGCCCCCATCTCCTCAAGAGCTTTGCCCAACTTGATGTTGATGAATTAATGTTCTCTCCCATCTAGTCCAGTCAAAAGCTCATTGGAATGGTGAGATGGAATCAAATACTGGGCTGCAAAGTCTCAATTGTTGGCTCTAGGAAAGACTCAGGTCAATGGTCTTTGGAGTTAGGCCTGGAACACAGTCAAAATCAGAGAGAACACCTATCAACCATCTTCACTTTAGATCAATGATTCTCTAATTTTTGGAGCCCTTTATGCTCTTAAAAATTATTGAAGAACCCCTATAAACTTTTGTTCATGCAGATTATATCTATCAATTTTTACCATACCAGAAATTAAAATGTCTTAGTATTATTACAAAACTAGTTTTGACCTAGCAGGCCCCCTAAAAGGGTCTTAAGAATGGAAGGAAATAGGCATTTATTAAAGTACTTTTGAAATAATATTTTATTTTCCTCCAATTAAATGTAAAAACGCTTTTGACATTCTTTTTTTTAAATTTTGAGTTCCAGACTCCCTTCCTCCCTTCCTCCCCACTCCCTTTCCCTAAGAAGGTAAGCAATCTGATATAGGTTATATACATATATGTGAAGCAACCACTTTTACAAATATCTCACTGAATCTTCACAACAACTCTGTAAGGTAGGCACTACTATTATCCCCATTTTACAGTTTATGAAACTGAGGCAGGCAAGTTACATGGCTTGATCAGGGTCACACAGCTGGTATCTGAGGCCAGGTTCTAAGTCAGTTCTTCCTGACTACAGGATCAGCGCCCTCTCCAGTATACCACCTAGCTGCCCCCAGGCCCCTCTAGACTACACTTTGATAACCCTGGCTTTAAATGGACACATCCACTTTAAAGCCAGAAAGGCAGCTCAGGGGGAAAAACAAACAACAACACCACTTAAGGCTTTCAGAGGGCACACTTCAGGCATTTCTTTCTCCTTATATAGCTATTGAAGGCTCAGCTCAACCACATCTTGGAATTGGCCTCTCTATGAGGTTTCCATCTCTTGCACTGACTCCTTCTGACTGTGCATATTAGCATGTCAGTTGCCAGGCAACAATTTTTATCTTCCCAGGAGCCCCAAATGACAGGACCATTTTCACCCCATGTTGCACTGAGGACTTACAATCCAAACAAAAAATGGAACATGTCCTAGTAAAGAGAACAATCTGTTTCTTCCTTGGGTTGACACTTGAAGTAGCAAGTAATAAAAGCTCTTAGATACTTCTACAGTTATTACACTGGTTTACTTTGATGCCCTATGTTTAGTGGGAATATGATGTCCTTTTTAAGAGAAGGAAGAGGGGGGAGAAATCTGTACCACAACGGGAGGTTGGCAAGGGCTTAAATGGATGTTGGCCAAATCAGGTATACTTCATCGGATGGCCTATGGTCTGTATATTAAATTCAATTTTCTTATTGGCATTACCTTTAAAATTAGGAATGTGTTTCTCAGGGGATGTAAATTACAAACAATGTGCGATAAAATCACACTTCCCAGTACACTAAGCCTTTTGAAGTAAAAGAAAATTTAAATATAAAATACAAAAAAGAAACAGAAGTTTCCCTCACTGATTTGGAACAACAGCAGCACTGGGATATAGGAAAAAGTCACATTTGTTAAAGAAATGGGCTCATGGAATCTCAGAGATCATAAAATGCAACACTCTCATTTCCTGCATCATTTTGTTCAATTTATTACATATGTTAATCCAATACATAAATAATACTAATAAGTAAGGTAAGGGAGTAGAACAAATTGGAAAATATATACAATTATATAAATAATATTATAAATTTTAAATAAATTGCATAATAATATTTCATAAGCATACAATTCTTTAACCTGCAAGAATTAAATGTTGAACCTTTTGGAGGGATCCTTACTTTCTTATAAAGATTATTTATTTTAGTTTTATAAAGATTATCTATTTTAGGCTTGTTGCTGATACCTTTAAAAATGGGAAAGCCTTAGTTTGACTTTTTACTAGTAAGAATTGCTGTTTCTAAATTATTACAAATGCTACATTAGTACAATATAAATTAGGATGGTTTTGTTGTATCTAGAGTTTAAGGGTGAGGGGGAAGGAGAAAATCAATATTATAGTCTAAAAAAAAGATGAAAACATATAAAGAAAAATTGAATGCTTTCTCTGAACAGGTTTAGCCCACTGAAAGGGAGCAGGGGTGCTTTCCAGGAGATCTGCCTTTGGAGACTGAGTAAAGGGAAGAAGACAGGGTAGAAGCTGGGGGAGGGGAGAGAGAAGGAAGCCAAGAGAATGTTCTTTGATCTAGGCAATCTTCAGTAGACTCCAAAAATCCGCACGTGGCTTCCTTTAGCCACATTTATCCCTGAAGCATTTCTTTCCCAGTTTGGCACTCGAGGTCAGTTCACCCCCAAATCATAACTCCTGGATAAAATATGTGCAGCTTAATATGATTTTGCTATATCTTAGGCTAGGACTAGGGGAGATGAGGGAAAGGGGAAGGCAGAAGAAAGGGAAAATCCATATTTTGGTATAAAGAAACATTGAAATACAACTACCTTTCATTTATTTCTCTAGACTACATTGATGCCTC